GAGAGCGAGAGAGAAACAGAGACAGAGATAGAGACAGAGACAAAGCCAAGGGACAGCGACAAGAGAGGGACAGGGACAGAGACACACTGAGACTGAAAACGAGAGACACACACACACACACCTGCTTGCTCTTGATGCCTGCTCATGTCGCCGTGCGATGTGGTCAGGAACCTGCTTCAACTCCACGATACCCGCATCTCAAAAACTGAAAGCCTCTGCACTGGAGGCTCATGGAAAGCTGAATTGGACTGATTGGCTGAACATATCCGTCAGTATCTCGAAGCAACCGTCTCCAGTGCAGAGCCGCAGCCGTTACTGGAAGATCGCGTCTGGCACTGTCCGAAGACATCCCTCACGCGGCACCCCCTTCTGTACCTTTAAGCTCTGTGTCTACGCAAGAGTGCGTGTATGTTTGTGTCGTGTGTTGTGTGTGTATGTCTGTCTGCATGTATTTTGCGCCGTCAGCTGTGGGGCTTGTTGAATCAATGGTACCCGGCCAGCTTTCACTCTGTATGCTCACTCTTCAGCACCCATGGTGCTCAAGTACTCCTCAAACTCGTGGCTCCTCTCAGCCCTTGGATAGATGCTCTGCCATGGAATTTTCAAGGTATGCCTTGCTCGCAATTGTACGTGCCGAGGGTGACACGTCCACCTCTCTTCGGACTCATTGCGAAATTTCGCCTGGGTGCCCCAGCTTTTACATCATGGTGGTGGTGCTCAGGATGTCTAATGCTGCCGAGCGACCAGCATGTAGCCGGGCATGTCCATTGGAATTTCGCCCTTTTCTTTCTTGCGCATGATCTCATGCCACCACGGCCACATGATATTTGGATTCCTAAGTTGGATGCACGGCTTCTTGGGCTGGTTCAACGGATGGCGGCAAGAGCCGAAGCGAGCTTGACAGTGCCGAGGCTCTTGGAACGGTCCACGCCATACCTCGAAATGACTCCCATCGAGGACAAGACTGAATGCCAAAATGTCCACCGGCGTGGTAGCCGCCGATTGTGGACTAAGTCCCGCACTGCTGATCAGCCAGGAAGCCGCCCAAGTTGACGCTGGCAATTATGCCCCAAATATACCGAGAGAACCTCGGAAAAGTTCTTTACACTTGGTCTGGGTCCTAGGGCCCACGACAGACCAAAGGCTGCTCAGACGTGCACCAGTTGGGGTGAAAGAACCGCTGATGGCCTCCCATGACGGCTAGCCTTGCAATTGTAAGTAATTGCAGAGCAGCAAATAACTCCCAGCAACCATCCGCGAGTTTGTCCCTGGGTATCACTGCTTTTTCGCTAGGCATGACCTGTTGCCCGACATTCCCTCATGGAGTGCAGCGTGCCTGCAGGATTCAGGCACAAGCACAGATAAAGAGGCAATGGGGCACGGCTGTGCTTGGGCAGCACAGCTGCAAGGGAAGTCGCTGCTGATGCGGTTGGCGACACGGCCACAGAGTGTTAGCTGCATTACAAGGGCACAACAGAAGACCTGCAAAACAAGCAGTCTGCAGTTATAAAACCCGTCTTTTCGACGAGCGTCTCAAGTGGATTCCAGGTTCCGGCATCTCAGTCCACAAGACACCTTGTCCTCGCACGTCACGAAGCCCACGAGCACCCCCCGTCTGCACGAATCGTCGCAGTAGCACACGTCAACCTTCCACAAAGTTGCGAAGTTTTTGGCATTGGAGGTTCGCCTTCACTCAAAAATTCCAGGATTACCATCTGCTTCTCGCTGCCGAGCTCGAAGGGCGGGCGCTGTTGACGGGACCCGAGCTCGACTGCAGGTACGACCTGGCCAGGTGTGTCGCACTATACGCCAATCGACTCGGCTCAGCGTCGGCCTCCAGCAGCATCTCCTGGCCTTCACCTAGGACCTAGGAAGATCTCAATGGCAAAAGCACTACAGGATGCGGTCAGAAGTCCGTGGCTTTTCTGCGGCCAGCAACTCGGTCCAGGTCAGGCCTTGGCCAGACATCCGTAAGCAAGGTACGCATGTGGTCCATCCGAAAACCAGCTCTACCCTGAAACTGTGAAATGCTGGGAGCAGCACACTCACTCAGCGTCTTGATGATCTCGACTTCAACCCTGGGAGGGTCCTGGAGAAGCTCGCAAGTAGTGGACCTTCGCCCATCGACTTGCACCGCCCAGCCCTTATCCACTGTCCTCCACTACTTCCAGCTCGGATGCAGCACAACGATGGCCTCGGCGTGAGCATGGATGCAAAGAGATCCAACAGATTGCCGACGACATACCGTCATCAGGCCGGAGCACTTCACGACCGAAAATGCATCTTGCACCCATTATGTGGGCAATCCAAATCCCCCGCTGAGAAAGTCACCCCAGCTTCCGAGGAAGTCCACCACGGCTGTTGCATTGCCATGCAGAGCAAACACCACACCTGTAGCCACAATGCAGTGGCAAGCACCAGTTTGGGATAGGACAAGCGGAACCTATGCCACAACCGCCCTGCCTGTCGCACCCTTGAGCCCAGCACGGGGCATCCTGACCGAAAGAATTGCATCCGGTCCCACACTGAAGCTCAATTTTCATTGATGATGCCATAGTTGCACCAGGCCCCACCCAAGCCTCAGCCGAACGGCGACACCTGGACGGATGAGATCGGACTCCTGTGGGAGCAAGATGGTGCAAGAAGGCGAGGTCGCGAGGCCCAGGAAGTCCTTATCCAGCTCTAGCTCCGAGAGCTTGCTGGCAGCAAACATAACGTCTTGAAATCCTCCAGCTTCCTGAGCACAAACACAGCTGGGCAAGCCACTGCAGACACTAAATTGCCGCCCAAAGCTCATCTGGAAATCGCACACAAACACTGCTTGCCCTTCCAGAGCTGTCCTGTACACAAGCTGGAGAAAGGTTCCATGCCACTACAACAGGATGCATGCCTCCACCTGGAGCACGGTGCCCAAAGGTCCTGGGAACGCCAAACCCCCGCTGACCGAGAAGTCTGGCTGGGTGTCGGGCGCAGAAGCAAAATTCGTTTCAACAGAAAAGTCAGGATGGTGAACCGCGTAGCGCTTCATGTCTTGTTGGATTGGTCGCTCGCCCGTGCTACCTTGCAGCAGCAGCACGGGCAGTGAGCCCATGCTGTACCGTCCCTTGAGTCCCACCCTAGCACTCTTGAAAGGCAAGCCGAACTTGCAAGCCGAGGGCCAAGACTAAGACCCTGAGGCTTGCGACCGCTGTTCGACTCGGGTCGGAACGGACGGCACAGCCGTCAGGTGCAACAATGCGCAAGTGCAAACGGTTCACTGCAGGCCCACGAAATCAATGTTTGAAAACATTCTGTCTGAAGTCGCGAAAGGGCCTTCACACAGTACTGCAGCGAAAGTGGCTGCTTGTGCAGTCTGCTTCCTGGCTGGGTTGTGCACGCCTTGGGCACGCACGTGACACACACACACACAAACATCAGCCATCACACTGGTAATACGCCCCTAGGCGGTCACCATGAATCCTGTCGGAAAGGAAGCAGCGGCTTGAGCCGAGCCACACCAGGTCACCGACGCTCAGTCCTGAAGCAAAGCCGACTGCAATCAAACTGCACTGCACTGTAGTGTTGCATTCTCTGGCATTTGCATTCAGGATCAGGCCGGGATCTGCGCTCAAACGGCTCTGCAAGCTCGCTATGGGGACAGGGAAGCACCGGCCATCAGCCCGTAGGACGTCAACGGAGTGCATTTGCACACCGGAGCTCTCGCTTCTTTGAAGCCCAGGGCCTCGGCCAAAAAGGTGCCGAGCTCGGACTCATCAACGGCGGTTTTAAGCTTAGGCCAGGGCCCTCGGAGTTGTTCCGGCTCCTTGGATCCAGTGGAGGCCCGCAAACCACACCAGCCTTGGGAATTCCTGGCGGAAGGTGATGTTCACGGTCTTCAACTATGTAGCAGCTGCTTTTTTGTAATGCATCGTCCTCCGTCCAGGTACCAAACCTTGGAGCCTGGACGTGCCAGCAACCCCGCGTTGGATGCCTGCACGTCCCTCATCGCCACGAACTCAGGCAGTGCTTCGCCCCCTGACGAGTGCACTCGCCATGGGGACATTAGTCGCAGCAGGATTGTCGGGGGTTTTGCACCTGGAAGCACCAGGACTTCGCCGTCCTCCACAGCCCGGGCCACCGCCAGACCCGAGGCGAAGGCAAGCAAACGACCCGGCAGCACAGAGTCACCTCGGCAAATGCGACTCCGCCCCGCAATCGACTTGAGTCAAAAGCCATGGCACGGAGCCGCACCAGCAAGGCCTCGCAGTGGAGCGCGTCTTCTTGCATGCATTTGTGGAATGCGGCTCCGACGACTCCGGCCTCCGCCTCCTCGGCCGCCTGCTTCGAGGCACGCACGGCGGCCTCGGCATCCTTCAGCTGCCGCCAGAGCCTCGCCACCTCCTCAAAGAGACCAAAAAGAGAGGCCCACCGACACATCGTCAGGACGGACACCGGCTCCTCGGCCAGAGGACCGTAAGCACCCTTGGCTTTGAGATCCAGAGTGTCGAAGTCTTCCGTGTTGCTGCTTCGTCCCCGCAGCAATCGTAGAAGCCACTCCTGTCACGGAATTCGATCCTTACTGGAGCACGGCCTTCGAAGGGCCTTTTCTTGTCACTACTTAGCCCGTTCGGTGGAGTAGTCGGGACTACTTGTGAGAGCTCTAAGATGTGCCTAAGCGGGGTCTAGACAGTCTTGATGTGTGTTGCAACTCTTGAATATGCATTTCGGCTGCTTGAAGCTCTGGGAAATTACTTAGAATCTGGAAGCATGTTCGTGTGACTAGTATTCTTGAAAACGAAGACCATTGCAGCGCTCCCAGTACCAGTCCTGTTCTTCTTTAAGGTCTTGCAGCTGCTTCTGCATGTCACTCCACAGCACGGGGTCCACAGTGCAGAAGCCCTGCAGAGCGCAGCTTTCATGACGACTGCAAGATTTGCAGCGCAAAGAAAAACCGTAGAGTTGAGAGCTGAGCGAGGGGTGCTTTTGGGGTTTCAGGGTCAGGGCATGCCAAACGACGACACCACGTTTGCCTGAAGGACTGAGAACAGATTTGTCTTTGCAGGCCGGGTTGTTCGCGGAAACCTCTTCGTTTACAGGTTGCACTGTGTCTCGAGTATCAAGTGGTGTTGCAAGCAGGCTTCGTTTGCGCTTTGGTCTGTCCCGGAAATAACCCCTGCGGTGGGCCATGTTCCCTGATCCGCCAAGCAGGATCAAGCAGTACCACGAAGCTTTCTAAGCAACCAGCGCACCGCTGGAACACTTTCTGACGCCCGCTACTGTACTTTCTATGCCTGAGAGCTGCGTGTGTCAAAACAGTTCCGGACATATTTTCTGCGAGCTAGCAAGGTGAAGTCACTTGCAGATAAAATCCATGACAAAGTCGCGTTGGCATTACCACCGTTCGCCGAGGATTGGTCTGCTGTAACCTCGGACGACCGCAACCAGCGATGCGTGAGAAGATGTTGGAAACTTCACTCGCACGATCTGAAAGGTCCTGTTCCTTTTTGTCGCAGATTCGCCTCTCATGTTAGCAGGCCTTTGGCACTGCACAGAAGCCCCCAACCAATGTGCCCCAGGTCGTTTTGCATGCAATGGGCAACGAAGCATTCTCATGTTTTTGCGTCTTCTATCGCCGCTGTTGCTGTTCCAGAATCATGGGCAGCACCCCTAAGCGCCAGCCGCGCTGCGCGCTGAGACGCACCATCATGGGCAAGCGCAAATGATGGGAGTCGTGCCCCGAAACCCCCGCGACGGATGCTGAAATCTCATGAAATCTCCCTATCGACCGTGGACGGCCGTGATGCATGGATTTTGACAGCAACAAGAGTTGGCAAGCTGCGAGTGTTCAGGTATTGCACACCCACGGAGTTCTTGCAGGCTTGGAGAGCATTTTGCTGTGCAACATTGTGCAACACTTGCCTTGTGTTCGTGCAAATCCCAAGCTCCGCTTCACGTGCTTTGCAAGAAACAATACCAAACCAGCCCAAAAGTCCTGCAACCTCGTCCCCGGGGCGAAACACTGTGAAAACCCACACGACATGGCTACTCCTTTGTGGGCCGTGGCGTCCGTGGCGCAATACGAATCGCGGCCCTAATTAGGATAGTCGCTCTCGTTTGGTGCGGTAGCTGCCGAGCCCGAGATCTCTTGATTCGCTCACATGGTCTAAAGAAACTTGCAAGTTTGCAGAGGAAAGGCACAGTGAGGCTGTGACATCCGGTGACCTTCTGGTGCCTAGGGGCTCCCACGCGGCGAATGCGCTGACTTTGCCGCTGGCCCTCCTCTAAAAGGGTAGTGTAGTCCACATTATACCTTGAGGACAGGGTCGTGCGTTTCACCATGAAACCGCTTTGCGCTGAGCTCGGAACAAGAAGCCTCCGGCATTGATTTTGGACTGAATCTCCTGGGTTCACATTGACAGAGCGTAGTCATAAGCTGCAAACAAAAGAAGCCCTCAAAAGCAAAAGAAGCCAACCACAGCTCCACAGATTATGCAAGCTCGAGAGCGCTGGGATTCTGCAGCCAATTTTGATAAGCAGCTTCCTTGCACGAACAATCAGACAAGCCTTGATTCTTAACTTCTTTGCAATGGCTCCGATAGGAATGCAGTTTGTTGTGCTGAGCCACGAGGAGGACGCTGACTTTGGGAGAGAAGCCCAGCCAACGGTTTTCACCTTCCTCAAACTCCCAATATGCCTGGCAAAGAGCTCGAGAGCAAAGGCTTCAAGGAACTTTCTTTCTGAGCCTTCACCAGAGTCCGGCTCTGCTCAATCTGGCGCTGCTGGAGGGCTGCGCCCGGGCCGATCAAACCACTCCGAACAGGCCGCGGCACAGCTGCCGGCGGTGTGAAGGACAGGCAATACGGGCAGCTCATGAGATCCAGAAGACCTTCTGCACTCACGAAAAGCCCACAGCTACAACTAGCGACCCTCACGGCACGACCACTGCACAGCGTGCTGACCAGCCCAGTATGAACACAAAAACACCTCTGAGCCAGCTATCGGCGTCTGAAGCGCTTCTCAGCCGCACTTCGGAAGTAGATGGTGCAAGAGTCGAGAAACTCCTAACTCACCTCTCCGCAGAAATTGCAGACCTCAATTCTTCATAATGCCATGTCAGAAGACAAGTACCTCGTGGAAACACGACAGAGACAGACGCGCCAACATGTTTATCAAGAAAGTAACAGTGGGCTCTTCTGGGAAGCGGGAAAATGTCTGACGGGTCAGAAGACTCAAACATCAAACATCCCAACATCCGGATCTTATCGCACGCTGGTGCTGGTGCTGGGGCACCGGTGCTGGTGCCAGTAGTGGCAGTTTAGTAGTAGCAATAGTAGTAGTCGTAGTAGTAGTAGTAGTAGTAGTAGAAGTAGTGTTGGCGGCCGTGGTGCTGGTGGTAGTAGTAGTAGTAGCAGCAGTAGTAGTAGTAGTAGCAGCAGCAGCAGTAGTTGTAGTAGTAGCAGTATCAGTAGCAGTAGCAGTAGTAGTTGTAGTTAGTAGCAGTATCAGTAGCAGTAGCAGTAGTTTTAGTGGTAGTGGTAGTGGTGGTGGTCGTGCTCGTGCTCGTGCTCGTGCTCGTGCTCGTGCTCGTGCTCGTGCTCGTGCTCGTGGTCGTGGTCGTGGTCGTGGTCGTGCTAGTGCTAGTGCTAGTGCTAGTGCTAGTGCTAGTGCTAGTGCTAGTGCTAGTGCTAGTGCTAGTGCTAGTGCTAGTGCTAGTGCTAGTGCCAGTGCTAGTGCTAGTGCTAGTGGTAGTGGTAGTGCTAGTTGTTGTCCTAGTGGCAGTACTAGTAAGCAAAACGCGGACTGCAGTACCAGCATTGGTACCAGCACCACTGCTGGCTCTTGTGGCGCTACGAATTGAAGTACTAAAACAAATTATACTACTTCTAGCAATACTGGTCATTGTAATGCTGCAAAGAGAAATTGTAATGGCAAGCTGTTGAATTAGTCTATAGTAACGGCATTGCAAAAACAGTTGTAATACTACTGTAATAGTAAGAGCAGCAGGAGCAGGAACAGTAAACGCAACAGTAGTAGGCGCAGCAAAACTATGGGTAGAAGCTGACCGTGAATAGTAGCTTTTGCTCGCACAAGCAAACAACTTTCATGTCGTCATAGAGTACTTAGTCGACAGCCGTGTTGCTTGGAAAATGTGGAGTACTGTAGCTTGACCGTCTCAATCCTCCCACATACAGTTCAGTCAACAGCTTGCTGAGAAGCTTGAAAAGCAGCACGTGGCCGATGGGTGCAAGAGGAACCTACATGCAGTGAGATATAGTCCGAAACCACCAACCATCCACACCGCACCTTTTTCGTCGTGGGCATCCCGAAACTGTGGCGGCCACAATTGCGCTTCACCTTCAGTGCGCGCACTATCCGCGTGCATGCTACAACACACCGGGCATTTGCTGATGCCTGCGCTGCTGTCTAGCGTTTTGAGGAGCAAGATCTTTTTTCACAAGTGCCTTCGCAACCTCTGCAAGCAGCTGGTAACCTAGGACCTAGCTGCTAACACTTGCCGGAGAGATCGCAAGACTGCAGCACTCGGACGATCGTGGCATGGAGCTAAGGAAGTGGAAAGCCACCAGGGGTATGGGTCAAACATCATCTTCCAAGACAAGTAGGTGACTGAACACTCCATCTGACGCAGCTGAAGACACTGCCTATCCTGTAGCACGTGAGTCGCTCGTCCAGTTTCAGAACCTGTAATTCACTGCGAACACTGCCAAAGCAGGCCCACAAGTGCAAACAACAACGACACACGACAGAAGCTGCTCACTGCAACTGAAGGAGATGCCTATCTTCAAGGCACAACAAGTTATTTGCACCGTCTCGTGCGGCACGGAAAAAGAAGCTCCAAGTCTCTTGACCTATTGGCGGTCGGAAAGGCCGTGACCTCCTTCACAGTGCATGCACAGGCAAGCAAGCACACTCCTTCTGAAGAACCCCTGCAGGTTGCAACTGTGGCCACACGAGGGCCTGGTACCTAGTTGCAAGATCTTGAGACACGGCCAGGGATCCTTGTGATCTCTCACCGCACTTGCTCTTGAAGCCGCGTGGTGGTTCGTTACATGCGAGAAGAACGGTTGTTTATCTGGGCAAGTGAACATCAAGATCCCGGTTTCGGGAGATGTCCACCGCCTGTGAAAGCTAACATGAAATGATGATGCACATTCACTCATGCACATTGGTTAAGCTTCTGCACGCATCATTCAATCGTCACAGCCGATGCTGCATCTTCAACAACACATGCTGCTGACACTAGTCATGTTACGAGATGTTCATGTACACCTGCAGAATACTGTCACTTCCTGGTCAAGCTATGTCTGTACACCTGGGTAGGTCGCTGGCAAAACTGCTGCGCACCAGTGCCAGCCATCAATTTGTGGCCACCGAAGCACTGAGGTGCTCAAGACTCAGCTCTTGCCAGACAAGGAACGCCAGGAAGTCAGAAGCTAAAGTTTCAGAGGTGTTAGTGAGTGTACGAAGGTGCCTGCTAGTTCCAGCAAAGGGCTCCTCAATTCGACACACGTCCTTTTGTCTTTGGTTCAGGGAAGGTCTCGCTGACGCCTTGGCGGAATGGCAAACACAAAACGCGACACAAGCGCGGCTGTCCAATCTTCCCGTCGCATGCAAACGACAAGGGAAAAGCATGGCCTCTGTCGTCGAAAAGGCGCAGCTCGTTCAAGACAATGGGACTGTCAATGCCCTGACAACACGCTCGCCATCACAGCAGAAGCAGGAGTGTGATCTTTTATGAACACAGTCAGCAGCGGCATTGAGCCATGAATCGACGCCCGCCAAGCTTGTGTCAACATCATGAATTCCGATCCCCACACGCCACGGCACCCAGCTGGAACAGTAACACCACTGTGGTGAACGTAAAACCTCATATGACAGATTGAATTACGAGATTCAGATGTGCTCCCATTACCGATAATGAGGCCTTCAGCGCGAAAGCGCCTAATCGAGGCAGTGACCATCCTCAGACACAGGACCGAGCAGCGGGCTGCTGCAGAAGCGTGACAAGGTTGTGCAAGACATGAGGGACATCCACACAAGCCACATGTTTGTGCATCTCGCCTGCACCGGACACTTGCGGTGTCTGTTGCAGCTGCCCGGGGAGACAGGGTGCGGCGATTGGCTGGCCGGCAGACCTGAGTCATCCACCAGCCTGTAGCACCTATACATCTGATGCGAGAACCATTCGATAGGGCTCCTGCCCATAGGCTGTGGGCATCGCCTGCCCTAGAGCAGCTTGCTGAGGGATTGGCTGTGGGATCATTTGAGGATAGCCTCCCACAAAACACATATGCGAGGCTTGAGCACCACGAACTGCAAATGAGGGTAGACGGTCAACAGACAGCTGAAGCCCGGCCTGCTAAGGGTGGCGGTTGCTGCCATTGAACGCCTGGCAGTCGCTTCAAGGCGGCTGCATCCAGAGGCATCTCCCCGCCGAGCAGAACCTGGCGTCATGGCGGCTGGCTTCCACGGGCGTTGCATGCATCAACGCTCGCCTGCCCTGGGTGCGAAGCAGCCGCTATGCGAGCCGTCCGGTTAACGATAGTGCCGAAGTAATCGGCCTGAGAGCAACATGCTGCTGACAGCAGCAGCAATAATGGAGCAACTTGGTCTTTGATCGGCAGCATCCCTGCAATGCTGCAGAGTGGCCCGCCCAGTTGAGGCATGTGGTCTCCTAGAAGTGTAGGCACCACTCAGAGCCTCAGCGGCAGTCGCAGAAAGCTGAATGCCAGGGCTTGGAATGACTCTGCAATCCACAACATTCTCGGCACTCTCAACATTGGCTCTGACATAATCTTCTCCAAGCATCTCCTATTGACACCCGCAGGCCATGAGCATGCATCGGTCCTGTCACGGCCGACGAGAATGTGCTTGCAGTTTCACAACTTATATCAACTTCCACTTTGGACGGCTTCTTCGAGGGATTTGGCCGCGGCGGGGGGGAGGTCTATCACTACTTTCACCAACTTCCAACGGGTCCAGCAAAGCGAGCACCACCACGGCGAGGACGACCAGCACCACAACACGACCGCCGGACGATGAATACTCTGATACTGGGACCGCCTCCACTATGACCAGGACACCGGTTGGACTACTTCTGCGTTTGCTTTTTGTTTCGTATGTTTTGCGGGGCTGGGGCAGGATTACCTCCGAGGGAACACGAGTCTCGGTGCAAAAACGAGGACCAGGACACCACACAACGACCACGACTATCAGCATTCGACTTGAATTCACGGTTAGCACTGCTGCTGCTACTACTACTA